AAAGCATGGTAAATTGTATGTTAATTTCATACAATTTATTTATATTTTTGAGTTTATTGGTGTGTGTAATTTTTAGATAACAATTGTTTAATTGTACATGAGATAAAAGGGTGATATTACTCCGTGTTATGACGTTATATCACAATGACAAATCGCACACGTGTTGCCCGTGCCAAGGTTCGTGGTGAAGCGATTGAATTTAACGTCTTTTGACGGGATGTCCGTATTTTTGTTGCATGCTGGGAGTATTTATTTTATTATTTTTATTTTTTATTTACCTTATTTTTTATGTTATTGTTTTATATTATTTTAATTATAATTTTCATAATTATTTTATATTTTATTTTTATTTCTTTATAATAATAATAATATCCCTCCAAATCTGCGTTATATTAAAATGCTAAAAATAGAAAAACAATGCTAAAACTAGATCAAACCATATAAGATTCCGTCCTTTTACTCTACTGAATGATTTGATTGTAAAAGTTGAATAAAAAATGAGAAGGATATATAAAAGAAGGATTATATATATATATATATATATATATATATATATATATATATATATATATATATATATAGGGAAATTATACAAAAGATTATAATTTATTATATAAATCAATTTCGTATATTAATAATGAATCATAATATCAATTTTAAATATTAATAAAATAAAATATTAATATAAATTAATTAATATAGCAATAAACTCGAAATTGTAAAATGAGGTATTCCTCGACGATCAATGACATCGATGGAATATTTAAATATATATATATATATATATATATATATATATATATATATATATATAGATATACCAAAGAACCATCGCATTGAATTATAAATCTTCACTTCTTTAAAAAATTATTAATTACTCACATATTTTAAAATGGTTTATTATGATTTATTTTACTAGCGTACATAAACGTTCCATAAAATTTATTTGTTAAATACAAGTTTAATTAACTTTCAATTCTCGTTAGTGGATGCGCACTGCTGATGAGTCCCAAATATACGACGAAACGGCCGTTCAGTGCTTTCTGCATTCTGTTGTGGCTTCTTCTAGACTTGATGAATTAATTATGATTATTTCAAATTCTCCTAATTATTTCTATCTGTATATCCTTGCTTGAACCGGCTACTAATTCTCTGGACTGAGCGGCTTGGGGATAATAGTCGTAGCTCGTGGAGGCACAGTTCTATGAGAAGGAAAATCAGATGAGTTCCACCACGGAATATATGATCGAGCTGTGCTATATCAAGTCGAATTCGTTACCTTTTCGCAATTGTGGCCTGTTGGTTATATTTAGTCCCCCCCACGAGGGCATCATGTGGCACAAGGCCGGTTTAACGTGGGATCTCCGAGCCCGTGGACTCGGCCAAAAATATGCCCATTGAACCCGTATAAACGGGTTCAGGGTCGGTTTACCTCCCCGAAAGAGACTCCGCCCTTCGACGTAGCCTCGTTTGGGTTCCTCCCCGCCCGAAGGCAGAGAGTTCAACCGAACAGCCGGTCAGGACTTGAACGACTGACTGACTCTTTTGTTGCAGTTGGTATGGCGTTTCCCTCATTCTCGGTAACTGATGCGCACTGCTGATGAGTCCCAAATATAGGGCGAAACGTCTGTCCAGTGCGTTCTGTTGAGCTTTCTTCTAGACTCGATGAATTAATTAAGTTCAATTAAATTAGTTTTACTTCAAAATAAAGCATATACATTTACTATTTCTATAATACAATTCCTAAGCTTATCTATTAGTATAAAATTAAAAAAGCTTCTTCATCGAGTAAATGTGGTACATGGTTAAAAAAAATGTTGAAAACTACTGGTCTTGTCTGTCGTGTTGACTTTTGTGTTAATGCCTGTAGGAAAGCATGACTCCATATCTTTTTTCCCCAACCCACTATCTATGAGTTGAATAATAAAGAATAATCTACTCACCATCTCTGAATAATCAACCCACTATGAATAATCAACCCACTCTCTATGGATAATGAACCCACTATCTATGAATAATCAACTCACTATCTATGAATAATCAACCCACTATTTATGAATAATCAACCCACTATTTATTAGTTAAATAATAAAGTAGAATGTGATCGCTAGCCTTGAGTGACACAAAGTCTACGAAAAGGACACCTCTAAATTAAAAACTTTGGAGAAGGTACATTATTTACATTATTCGGACTATTGTCCTCATCTTTGTCGCCATATTTATCACAACATTTCGGCCGTTGTACGCTCCGGCCTTCTTCAGGTGGTTGGAATTTCGAACTGAACCCTTTATTTCGCTCACTGGGGTAGACTGTTCTAGTTCCACGTGCCATATTTGATGGATGTCAGTTATTAGTTATCTCCTGTTAATTTCCCTCTGAAAGTTCTCTACTGCCTTAACCGGGTATTGAACTCACACTCTTTGGGTCCTGTCAGTGGATCTAACCAACGCCTTTATCCACTGTGCCATGTCTCCTTGAGGACACATGGCACAGTGCCAGAGAAAAGTAACACAACCTACCTCGTAAGGTTGATTAAATGAATGGCGGGACAAGTTTTAGGGGTGATAAGAAAAAGAAAAAAAATTACTAAGAGGTAACGGATAGAAAATTGGAGAAAGCCATGATCACCCACGTCGAGAAGAGTCACGACGCATAGAAGAAGAACAGAAAAAAAAAACAGAGTACATGGTTGGAATCTAAAGAAAAATACGATACACGTGCTTTCCTACATAGCGACGGGGACTGAGAAGAACTAAAAGGCCAAATTTTATTTATTATCGGCAAAAGGAGCCCGAAATGCGATTTGCAGGTCGGGAACACAAAAATCAAGCGGACGCGGAAGTTTAAATATCTAGAAGGCGTTTTGACAGAGGACGGTCAGTATGACACTGAGATCCGAAGAAGTATTGGGATGGCCAAGTACACATTCCAAAAGCTGGACAGAGTATTTCGATACAGGAGGAATCCTTTGGTAACAAAGAAAAGAATACTGAGCTGTTACGTGACATCTGTCCTCCTTTACGGCAGCGAATGTTGGACGATTTCCTCAAAGATGAAGAAGAGAATCGAGGCGACGGAATTCTACAGAAGGATGCTAAGAATATCATGGACCGAGCGTGTGAGAAACGATGAAGTCTTGGAGAGGATGCAAACAAGGAGGAAGCTTATACTTAACACCAGGAAGAGGCAGCTGCAGTTTCTGGGACACATAATGAGGAAGGAGGGTTTGGAGAATCTGATACTCACTGGTCGAAGAGAGGGAAAGAGAGACAAGGGAAAACAACGTGTGACATAACTAGTGGGTTTAAGCAAATGAATTACAGAACGTAGTCTGGAGGGAGGAAGCAGAAGGAAGGAACTTTTGGGGGGTTGCAAAGGATAGAGGGAGGTGGAGAGCCATGATCGCCTACGCCCTGAAAGGACATGGCACATAAAAAAGAAAGATTTCATAGTATTTTTCCGTCCCAAATTCTCTGTCGAATACGTTCCGACCATTAAAACGGCACGGAATAAATAATTAATTTTCGATAAAACTTGAGCTCGTTATATCATATTGCCGTGACTGTTTTACGTGTCCGACGCCTTTAAATGTTCGGTCATGGAAGCCAATACATAGACTGAGCTAGAATTTATTAAGCTATGTATGTGATAGAGAATCGGAAATATAAGTAATAGATAAAAAAGGTGAATGGTTTACTGAACTAATAAGCGGTGTGAAGACTCAAATTCTTCAACTCTCAGAAATTGACAGTATACTATTAGGAATTCTGAACTCTTAAATTCAGATATTCAGACTGTCTTGAGGAAAAAAATAAAATAAAATCTCGCTGAAAGATCATGTCAGTCAATGAATTTCTTTGCTTTTTTATCCGCCGGCAAATTCCACTCCTAAGACATCGACATAGTCACGTCGATCTTTGAAGAAACCACCACCCACACTGAACAATTCCATTTTGATGTACAAGTTAACCGAAAAGTTCAAAGTGGCGGCCGGCGGCGATGAAATGGCTCGATTGACAGATAGCCAGACAACTTTGTTTGTTGATCTTTGGGAAAGAGGAATGCTTGAAAAAATATGAGAGGCTTTCTGGGTCCAGATTAAAAAAAAAAAAATGAAACCTAAAAACAAAAAGAACGAAGTAAAATATAAAAAAGGGAAAAGCAAAACGAAGGTAAAAAGAAAGTAAACGAAAAATAAAATAAAGCAAAATGAATAGGAATAAATAAATAAAGAAGAAGAAGGAGGAGGAGGGGGAGGAGAAGAAGTAGAATAAGAAGTAGGAGGAGAAGGAGGAGGAGAAGGATGATGATGAGAAGAAGAAGAAGAAGAAGAAGTGGTGATCAAAGGTAAAAGTTTGAAAATTGTTTAAAATTAAAAATTGTATGAGAGTCGAAGAACTAGAAAGGGTATTGATATGGAATGAAGGTTTTTGTCAATATAAAAATGAATTTAAGAAGAATGAAAAAATAAAAAATGGAATTCAAAATCGCAATGTTTTAATGAGGACAAAATAATAAAAAAGCAAAACAAAATGAATTAGAGAAGAAAAGAAATAAAGAAAATGGGAAAAGAATCGGTAAGAAAGAAAATCGGATAAAGAATGCAAAATAAATAAGTAAAAAATGAAAAAAAGTACGAATTGAAAGAAAAGTGATACAAAGAATGATTGAATTGTTTTTTACGGTTTATCAATCCTTTTTGGATCTTTAAAGATAATTCGGATTGTGGGTGGTTGCTTATAGTATCTAGAATTCCAAAGCGTTCCCCACCCATCATCTAAGTACTGACCGAGTTCGATTCTATTTCGGAGAAGAAAAAAAACGAAGAAAAAAAGATGAAGAAATAAAAAGAGGAAAACGGAGAAATAATAAAAAAAAATAACAATAATATAGAAAAAAAATAATGAAACGGGTACGAATTGAAGTAAAGACAGTGAAGTAGAAGGATAATCTCTGAAGATAGTGAAAGTAACAAAATTATTAGAAACATTGAAAAAAATTAGGGAGACAAAGAAAGAAAGAAATAAATAAATAAAGAAAGAAATAAAGAAATAAATAAATAAAGAAAGAAATAAGGAAAGAAAGAAAGAAAGAAAGAAACAATAAAAGAAAAGAAAGAATTGAAAGAAAATATATGAAACAAAAAAGAAAGAAGAAAAAAATGAAAAAAGAAAAAGGAAAAAAAAAAAATCATGAAAAAAAAAATTTGTGAATTGAAGAAAAAAAAAGAAAGAAAAAGAAAGAATAAGGAAAAAAAAAAAGAAAAAAAGAAAGAAAGAAAAATAAATGAAAGAAAGAAAGATTGAAATTGAAAGAAAGAAAGAAATAAGGAAAGAAAAGGAAAGAAAAAGAAAAATGAAAGAAAAAGGAAAAGAAAGAAAGAAAGAAATAAGGAAAGAAAGAAAGAAAAAGAAAGAAAGAAAGAAATAAAGAAAGAAAGAAAGAAAGAAGGAAAAAAAAGAAAGAAAGAAAAAAAGAAATAAGGAAAGAATAAAAAAAAAAGAAAGAAATAATGAAAGAAAGAAAGATTTAAGGAAAAAAGAAAAAAGAAAAGTATAAAAAAAAAGAAAAGGAAAACAAAGAAAACAAAAAAGAAAGGCCAAAAGAAAGGAGGAAGAAAACATAAAAAAAAAAAAAAAAAAAAAAAAAATATTGAAGTGGCACATGATCGGTTGACAGAAAGCCTACCAATCTTTCTTTCCCCAAAAGCCATTAGTGACGAAGTAAACAGCTTCACTATAGCACTGACAGCCGATGGGACATTCCTACAGTTGAGATAGCGTTTGTTACCAAAAAAAATAATAAAATTTTACGACAAAAGTCATAGAATAGGTTTACACCATAGCTCAGTCCATTTTCCTTCACAAAAAAACCCCCATAAAAAAAAAAAAAAAAAAAAAAAAACACACACACAAAAAAAAAAAAAACAACTCTATGTCTTAAACGGACAGAACACCGACAGGGCCCAGCGCGATACAAACTCAAAGTCAAGGTCGATCAGGTTACTTGAAATCATTCAACAATCTAGAGATTATTAGAGGAAAAAAAAGTTAAAGAAGTACGCTAAAAGTAAATACACAAAAAATTAAAAGGACAAAGCTGTCAAGTTTCGAATTCCAAATACCACCAAACACAAATATATCAACTAGTGCTTCTTTTTACTTACCTATATGCACGTATATTATGTTGTCACACATGAAATAACACCTTTTTTCGACTAGTGGTTTAATCCATTCGTCTAATGAAGTAACCCCCTTAGTATATAAAAAAAAAAATGATGACTTATTCCTGATTCTTTTTTTCCAGATAATTTTTCTTTCAAGATATTTTTACTCACAAGCCCAATGAAAATGATTAAATGAAACGATGTGGAGTAATCTTACCGTATGAGTACAAACTGGGGAAAAAAGAACCATTTTTACATTGAATCATTACATGTGATGAGAAATGGATACTCTTTGACAACAGTAAGAGAGTAGGCCAGTGGTTAGATGACCCAAAATATCCACTGCGCCCTAAAAAGTTAATAATTACTGTATGGTGGTCTTTCAAAGGGGTTATTTATTATTCATTCTTGCTTCAAAGGAAACCAGTAACCGCAACTTTGTATTGCTAAGCATTTGAGTGTATGGAAGAAAAATAGAAAAAGAAAAGTCCTGGACTTGTGAATAGGGATGGCTCAATTTTGCTGCATGACAATGCACAGCCACATGTTTCTCAATCAACTGTCCAAAAGCTACATTGCCTGAATAGTGAGATTTTACCTCATTCTACAAATTATCACTTATTTAAGCATTTTGAGCTTTTCATACGCAATAAAACATTCACCAATAAGTAAGATGTAATCGAAGCATTTGAATTGTTTCTCACATTAAAGGATGAGATTTACTCTAAAAATGAGATTTCGGGCTACGTTGGAGAACATTCATTCATCAACATGGTGCCTATTTCAACTAAATAAATTAGTTATTTAACATTTCAGAAGCGTTTTATTCATCTATACAATAAATACGAATGTTAATGTATTCGGCCTAACGATCTCTGCTGACATAATGTGTAGAGATTATACTAAATCCATTGCTAGGTTTGCCTTTTGGAAAGTTGTTTTACTGTTTCGTACTACAGATTTTTTTCTCTCCCAAACCTATCTTACATATTTATAAGTCTACCATGATTCGAATATTGCAGGTCTGGTGCTCCTGTTATATATTTAGAGATTCTTGACAAAATCCAAATAAATGGCAATGTTATTGGTCATGACCTGGCATCTTGGCTTCAGTCAATTTCCAACCGTAGCTTTTTTTCTATAAATACTTTCATGGTAATTGTTCTGATGAACTTTGCTCTGTGGTATCTAGATTTTATGAATTTAAGCGCAACACTAGACTGGTAAAAATGTCTCATCATTTTACGGTTGAATTGGCAAGATGTAACTGTAAGTTAATTGCTAACAATTTCATTTCTCGTACTTCTCGCTTGTGGGACTCTCTTTCGGCTTCTTGGCTTCTAGCTAACTTTAATCTTCAAAGGTTTAAATGTCAATCGTTATTTTTTGTTTTCTTAATTTTGGTCCTTTTATTGTTCTTAATAATGTTTTTCTTTGTCTTATTATTTCCCATTCAGTAGGACCTTGGGTCTTAATGACTTTATTACTTGGCTTGGGGTGAAATGATTAAAAATAAAAACATACATTTTTTTTTATATAAGAGTTTCACCCCAAGCAAGGCGAGAAGCCACTAGCACACAAGGGGTTACAGAGAGTTGGATTGAGAGCGAATATGAGTGATAGAGGAAGGATGAAGAGAAGGATAGGAGATAGATCAAGGCATCTGGAGACGTCGATTGACATCACATTTGAATAGTTGGAGATTATAGCTATCGGGGAAACACGAAAAGGTGGGTGAGTTCCACAGGTGAGAAGTGCGAGACATGTAGCTATTGGAGTAGAAGAGTCGGCTACATTTAACAGTTTCGACAGTGAAAGGGTGAGAGCGAGTTCCAGCCTAGTAGAACGCTTAAATTCATGAAGTCTGGGAACCAGCGAAAGTAGCTCATCATTTATTAATTTTATTCCTAGCATCGCTTGACAATGGAACGAGGCTATGAAATTTTAAGTTTAAACTTTATAATTAAATTTATAAATTTAGTTTCAGTTTTGAAACATGGAAACTTTCTGTGTTATGTTGGAATTATATTTTTAAAAAGAAAATAATTATAATTATAATATATATATATATATATATATATATATATATATATATATATATATATATATATATATATCCGGGTGAATCAAGAAATATTAATTATGTAAATTGATCCACAGACTCTTCGATGTTTTTATTTTAACAGAACATATGAGGGTATTTTTTTTTTTTTGCAAAAATATATATAATAATATATATATATATATATATATATATAATTATATATATATATATATATATATATATATATATATATATATATATATATATATATATATATGTGTGTGTGTGTGTGTGTATATATTTATATAGATATATATATATTATTAAATTACACAGCAGGTCATTTTGGATTTCTCTGTTGTGTAATTCATATACTCTGTTATAATAACTACATCGAGCTATTTTTGTGGATCAGTTTTAATATTTTATATTATTATATGTATGACCGATGTCTGTATAGTGAGTATTTTATGCGATGGCAGTTCAATTAAATCGCAAATTAGCAAACAGCGCATGTTAAAAATATAAGAAATCTGACAAATCATTTCCAGATACACAAAGATACTGTTGCGTCTAGAGTGTAAAAAATGATTGCAAATATTAGCAGCATTAAACATAAAAGACAAAAAATCCAAAATCATTAAAATATCATCAACGTTAGGAACAAACATACTGAATATATTTACTATTCTCACGCGTAGATAAAATGATGGATCGATATTGCAGAAAATACAATGAATCTTTGGTAAATATCTCATGAAAGACTTTCATGGAATAGATTTTGTTCTTGTTTTTTCTTTAAATTCAAAATTAGTGTTGCGACAGCTCGCCCTAAAAATAATAACTCATTTCTAATAGCATTTTTCGGATTACAACAGTACATATATTTTCGTTGTCCTCTTATTACTGAGAGAAAAAACAAGAACAAAATCTATTCCATACCTGAGGATGTCTGTATGAAGAGACGAAAGCTTGTAAAATAATAAGAAATCATGCAACAGGAATTTATAAAAACAAGGATTTTTTCATTCATAAACAGATTCGGGGTTTTTGTATATTATTTGAATTGTTCGCGACGATGGATTTCTCGCCAATTAAATCAGTAACCTTTTATTTGTTTTTTTTAATTTTTTGTATATATATATATATATATATATATATATATATATATATACATATGTTTAGAAATGTCTACCTGCGTCGCAGCTTGCATGAATTATCCGTGAGTATACGACGCTACTCACCCATCATCTTTTTAAGGTTTTTTCTTTCGAAAGTGTTTGATTGTTCTTAATAAAGGAATTTCATCGATAAAATCTTCTTGCGTGGTCGTTGATCGAGGTTAAATTGTTTCAATGTTTTAGATATTCAGTAAATTTCCTATGGCCGTAATAACTTTCAAATAGTATGGCATTGTTCACAAATCTAATAATTAAATAAAAACAGGGATGAAGTGTCAGAGTTTGATTCAAGTGCAAATTCATGAACGCCCCCTCCTTCTTCGCACGTTTACTTTAAAACTGGGGTTAATAAAAGATTCTTCGGGAATTTTTCCCTTTTAATGCTTCAATGATGCTTCTCAAACAATCTTTGCATCAAAGGTTGTTTGAATGCCAATTTAGGATGGAATCATATGAAGAAACTATTGTCTAAATTTTGGACCTAGTTTGTTGAAGATTTCGTTCACTTCCCCAAAACATCCACGCAAGACAGTTTGTGTGTCATATATAGTTTACATAGCAAATTTGGAAAGCAACGGATGAAAAATCAGGGAATTATGGCAAAAAAAACCCCAGGCTTTTTAAAAAGTTTTTCGTGGCTTTTCGTTATACACGTGGAAGAGAGCAGGACTAAAACCACACTATCTTATTTCTTGAATGATGACAAATTTTGGGGATATGTTTAAAGAAAATCAAATAAAAAATGAGGAAATTATTCAAGTTTTTATTTTAAATAGTACGAAAAACCCGATTTTTTCCCAGTTTTTTTGTGTGAATCCAATGTAGCGGGAATCTATCAACAACTCTATATAAACATCATAACATGAGCTCTGTTTTGCATTAAGTGCAAAGAATATCAGCTCATTCAGTAAAAATTTCGTTCGCGTGTGACTTTGCAATAGTTTTTTGCAAAAGGTCGTACCCACCTTCAATTTTATCGATTTTTCTGCCAAAACCCCTTCTGAAGATTGAAATGTTGGCCTAGACCTATCTTGAACAACGTGTGGACGTGCATAAATAGCATACACACACAGGCAGACACAGAGAGAGAGAAACACACACACAGACATCTTATGTTTTATAGAAATAGATATATACAGATATAATCAATGGAAGTCGGAATAATGTAGTTATAAAAAATCCTCTAAATTAATTAGAAATTAATTTATTTATGTTTCAGATAGGAAAGTAGATATGAGTTTTCGGAATGATCTGAACGAGAGGGTTGGCATTCCTCAAAAGGATAATTGAACCTTGCTGGGCTATGACGTTCCAGGAGGTCGAGCAGTCTAAAATCGGTTGGATTTGACGGATGTTTCTCCTATAAAGTGGGACAAATTGGTAATTATATATATATATATATATATATATATATATATATATATATATATATATATATATATATATATATATATATATATATATATATATATATATATATATTATATGTGTGTAAATTGTTATATTAAAAGAAGAGAGAATAAATATATATATATATTTTTTTTTAAAAAACCAACATGAGAATATAAACGTTCAATTTTTTCACTTTTTTATTATACACACTTTTCTCTCGTTGGAACTACTATAACCTCTTCCCTTTATAGATATATATATATATATATATAGATAGATAGATAGATAGATAGAGAGAGAGAGAGAGAGAGAGAGAGAGAGAGAGAGAGCAAAGGTAGATCCTAGTAATATTAAATATTAAAACTGATCCACAAAAAAACTCAATGTATTTATTATTACAGAGCAAATAATCAGGTGATTTTATTGTTTATTATATATATATATATATATTCTCTATATTTGGTGTGCTTGTTTCTTAGACAAGCCTTTATCACTGACCAAATAATATGTGCGGGTTGTCTGACAATTTACTTCTAAAAACCGAGCTGTTAGAACTTCATACGTCGAAAACATGTGTGTGCTCGTGCGAATATGTTGTGTGTGTGTGTGTGTGTGTGTGTGTGTGTGTGTGTGTGTGTGTGTGTGTGTGTAAGCAGCTTTCTATCAATCTATTTTTTTTTCAAATACCTCAAGTTAACACACTTTATTTTAAACATATCCCGGTTAACATTAGGTGTTGATAAAATCTTTAATTAATTTCATACATTGGGTTTAAACGCCCAAGTATGAGAATGCAGAGATAAGGAAAATGTGGTTAATAAATACTGGTGTTTATCACGACGCACAGAAACGAAAAACCTGCACAGTGTTTAGTCGGGCATAATCTGTTTTAGAAGAGAATGCCAATGGTTGTTAAGAGAGCTGGAGACTTAAACTGAAGAGAGATGAGGGTGCAGGAAAAAAAATTGATGCATTTTTTTTTTTATTTGTGTCGAGGGGAAAGAGGGGGTTGTTCGAGTACGTTTCATATATTTGAATAAAAGGAAACACAAAAATGCACACACACTATATATATATATATAAATATATATATATATATATATATATATATATATATATATATATATATATATATATATATATATAATAAACAATATTTTAAAAAATCACATTTTAAACGTTATTCAGTGAAAACTCATATTGGAGTAGACGCTCCGTTTTTTTATTAAACGGTATATTTATTTTCGTCTACAGACCTAAATATTCGCGAAATCGTATTAAAGAAATTATGCGATCTCCGGTAGGGTTCGAAACTGCGTCTCCCAGAGTAGAGGAAACGGTTTAAAGTACGTCGGATGTAACGAGAGTTTCCTTCTGGCCATGGGGACGCAGGTTCGAATCCTGTTGAAGATGGTGTATATTTTTTCTTGAATAAGATTTCTCGAATATTCAGGTCGGTGGACGAAAATAAATATACCGTTTAATAAATAAACGGTGAGTCTACTCAAATACGAGTAACCACTAAAACTAACATTTAAAGTGATATAATCTGTCGGATTAATAAATAAAAAATCCATTACTTATACAGAAGAATATATATATATATATATATATATATATAAAAAAAAAACAGACCACTTTTAAAGTACCATTACAATAATTTATTTCACCAGAGTCCTTTTTAAAAGGACGCCGGATCATCAGATAGTACTTCCAACAACGAAATGAAACGAAAAAAATGAGATTAAAATTGATGGGTAGTGTAAGTTTTTTGTAATTTAAAAGGGTGAGAGGGATAGTTAAAGAGACATGGTAGAGTATAGGGAGGGGTTAATTTTATATCTCTCTCAAGTGTACTTTATATTGGGGTAGGAGGAGTGACCAGACCTTGACCTATTTAGATGGTTAGCTTAACGGAAATGATATATAGATATATTAGCTCTGGATTTACATTGAGCTCTCAGGATTTCATCCTCCTTGTGATTACCCATACGGATTACCAATTTCTTCATAACTTAACTATATATATATATATATATATATATATATATATATATATATATATATATATATATATATATACTATGTATTTACTTAAAAGAAAGGTTTTACCACATAGGATCAACAGCCAGTTCACCCTGATGATCCCATGTGGTGAAACCTAGATAGGTAGTACCTCGCTCATTAGGATTTATTTATTTTACTTATGTTTTATGTTGTATTGAGCACCCTTCGTTTTAAATTATTATTCGCTGTTTTTTCTTCTTCTTTGCACCAGAGATTTGAGGTACTGGGAGATATCTTTCGACTTAATCGGATGTTTCTATTTCTTTCTTTTTTTTTTCTCCAAATTTTTCCCTCAAATGCCAATTTGTTTGAAAATTGTGCTATCCAGGTTTTTTTCACCCATCGAGTTTACATAGATTTAGATTATATATATATATAGGTCTGCTGCCAGGAAAGTTCACTGTGCCGAAAAAATGTATATTACATGTTCGTTCAAACATTTAATATTGATGGCACATTTGATATGGTGCTTCTGTTGTGTATTTAGAAATTCTTGATAAAATCTAAAGAAGAATCTGTAATGTTATGGGCCCTGGCCTAGCATCTCGGCTTCAGTCATTTTCCTACCTCCGTAGCATAAATTCCCTCTGCCACGCTTACAAATGTTTTAATGATAACTCTTATGGTGAACTTTCCTGGTTCGTAACTCGAATTTACGTATTTAAGCGCATTACTCGGGCTCATCAATTTGCAGTTGAAATGGCTAGCTGTAACCGTAAGTTCTATGCTAACAGTTTCTTCTCTCACATTTCTCGCTTGTGGAATTCCCTTCCAGTCAACTTTGATCTTCAAAAACGTAAATGCAATAACATAATGACCAAAATGTCAACAAACAGCACTGTAAAATAGCTCCAAATAACCGCATTCGGATCCACAGTTATTTCTACTCAATAGTCTCTAGAATAATTTGAAAGAGCCGTCACCGCCCACCCAATAACCGTTAGGTTAATACAATATACCTTACATCCCATAATGTACCACTAACCAGCCTATATATAGAGTCGAGCCAAAAGGTAACATATATGACATGAATATTGCATTCCAGCATGAGACATACAATCTCCACTCGGTGTTGACCTCAGTATCATATATATATATATATATATATATATATATATATATATATATATATATATATATATATATATATATATATATATACGATACGCATACTTTTAGGAACCGTTTATAAAATGTTACTATAAGCTTCATCAGTTAAAGTGCAACAGCAAAATTTGCGTTTCCTGACCTAGAGAAATCATTTGATACGTCATCACAACGAATAATCTGCAGTGGCGTCATTTTTCAATAATGCCAGCCGCTAACCTGCTTCTGAAGATTGTGTTCCAGCATGAAACATACTGTTGCCAGTCGGTGTTGACCTCAGTGTCTACTTATATATATATATATATATATATATTTTCTGTTGTATGGATATGAGTTTGTATCCGTAGGTTTCACGCTTTTGCTATCATCAGACAACTGAATATGTTAGCTCTATCACTGATATTGAGCGCTTTACAATAAGTACTGAGTATATATAATATATATAGTAATCATATATATATATATATATATATATATATATATATATATATATATATATATATATATATAAAAAAGAAAGAACACTAAGATATATAATCCGGTGTTCTTATAGATATTTTTAATTTTACAAAATAGTGTAAATTTACAGAGCATTAATATTATAAATTAATTGATTTAAAATGTTTTTTTTTTCGCTACACATTTCTAATCAATGTTTTTGAAACATGGTTAGAAGTGTGTAGCGAACTAAAACATTTTAAATCAGTTAATTTATAATATATATATATATTTCTACGATTAGGGCCATCCTCTCAGGCGATTTAATGTTGTTAAACGTTTTTTGCTCAGTCGAGACAATCTATGATTCCAGCACTTTACTGAGTAGCTAGGTTTGCCTATTGTAAATAGGATAAGACATTCTTTTTATGTACTTTCAGGACGTGAACGATTATGGCTCTCCACAACTTCCTGTTTTTCCTTCTTTGAATAACTTTTGATCCTTTGGCATCCTTCTTTTTCTTTATTTTCTCATTCATTCATTCATTCAAAGTAGGCTACTTACTGTTGTAACCTGCTTCTCTTCAATATATCTTGTCAGTGTTAAATTCTCAAGCCTTTCTTTCCTTATTTACGAGTTCCAGAAATTTCAGCCGTCGTTTTCTGATTGCTAGAGGCCGTTTCCCATTGCTGTTTCAATTTTCCCTTTAAACTATGGTTTCTTATAATCGGTCCTGACCTGCCAATCAGTCACTTTCCTGCCGCCGTAAAAATAGCTTCCCTTTGGCTTTTCTCTAAATAATTTGAAGCTAATTGTTCTGATGAGCGTTCCTAGTTCGTACCTCGAAGGTAAGCGCAGTACTAGATTGGCAGCTAGGTCTCATAATTTCACGGCTTAAATTACTTCTATGTTAGTAGTTTCTTCTCTCGCAATTCTTCCTGCTTTCCTGTCAAGTAAAATCTTCAAAAATTTAAATGCAGTGTCAATTGTCGCCTTCTTTCTCTTTGAATTCTCTTCTTTTTACTTTTTTTTTTTTTTTTTACTATCTCTGTTTCTTTCAGTCTCAGTAAACCTTTGCATCTTAGTCACTTTTATCAGCTTGTTTTGATGTGAAGTGATCAAAACGAACAATATATCTTCAAGTTCCTTTATCATATGAGCAAGTGGTCACGCATTCACTACCGTATAGGAAATAAGATATTATACTGGGTATGGAAGAAATGCTTCCGACATTTTAAAGGTTGACAAAAAAAAAAAAAACCAAGGTAAATGTTATTAAAAAAGCTATTTCCCTGTTGTTTAAACAGTATTTATTTATTTGCTTGTAAAAACGACATTCTCCAAATAGTGTTTTCTATGCGGCATATACTGTTGTAGACGATTACTAAAAAAAGAAAAATCTGTAATCAGTGAAACATTTGTTCAAATTGTCTTATTTTCAATTGTTGCAAGAATACATTGTATGCATTGAACAATTACTGTATAACTGTTTTTTCTTTGTGATATTAAAGCAGTCCTGTTTCTCAAATTTTATCTCAAACATATTACCCACTAAAAATAATGTACCAGAGATTTATCGCACCTTTGGCCCTAATGATTGATGTTATCAGATAAGTTACTTAAACATATGCATAAGGTAACCAAAAAAGTCCTTACTGTTTTTAGGTTGTGTGGGAAAAAGTGATCCATGTTACGCATACGAAAGCATTGCTCTTGACCAATGCAGAT